CCAGAGAAGCACTACAGAGGCGTAGCTTAGAGGTGCCCCTGTTTACAGAATCAGTGCCACCCCCATTCCAGACAAAGAGTAGTTTGATACTGAAAAGAGGAACACTAACTCATTTTGCTGACCCACTGCTATGGCCCCTATGTAAAAGACTGGTCCCCCACAGTGGCTCTCTTCGGAGGTGGCACACTGTGGGAGGTCCTTTGGTCACTGGGAGGGTACCCCTGCAAAGGACTGTGGGATGCCAGTTGCCTTCTCTCTCTCTCTCGCCTAGTTTGAGATGTGAGCACTTGCTTCATTATACACTCCTGCCATTGCCATCTGCCATCCTAGCCAAAGGCTTAAACCAGTACAGCTGCCTGATCTTGGTCTTAGAACCTCCAGAACCATAAGCCAAAAAGTAAACCTCTTTTTACCTCATAAGTAGCCTATGTCAGGTATTTTGTTATAGTGACAGAAAGCTGACTATTATTCCTGCTATGCTCTATCTTCTTCTGGAAGCCCTGGATATGCACAATTTGGGTTAGGTGTGCCTAAGTACAGCATATGGTCTATTCTGCAGTCCCCAGTGACAATCCATCAATTACCAAGGCACAAATAATGGAAGCTCATAATGACAGTGACTAGTGGGGCCCCACGTGGACAGCTAAGCCCCTAATAACTACATGACTCAGAGAATCGAAAGCAGGCTGTGTCTTGGGTGACTAAGACTCCTTTGAAAAGCACATCCTTAAAAGAAAATGTGGGGTTTGAGTGGTATTTTAGGGCTTGGGTTTTAGGAGGTGACATGGTGTTTTTCTACCCATGTTCAAAAGTCACTTCAAGCTAGAGAGGATCAGCGTATCAGAACTGAAGTGCGAAGCTCTTTTGTGTCAGCTGCTTTTCATCACTGTGGGGTTGGGGTGAGAACTGCTGCAGGAAATGCAGCATCCTGTATGTCAGCCCGGAGCAGTGTGGGGACAGAGGCTGAAAAGGTTATTCTGGTGGTTAATTATTATTTTCATCCAAAGCTTTGGCTTAGTTATCTCTTAGAAGTGTTCTCATTTGGCCAGCTGTCTCTGGGTAGCTAACTTCACCCCTAATTTACAGCTTTGATCTATAGCAGAAGAGCCCTTTCTGGAAGAAGTACCATTGTCAACCAGGGCAGAAGCATGACTTTGTTTCTGTCTGGTGTTCACAACCTTTTCTAAGTCACTTTTGATGACCGTGCAAATTAAGGTCCCCTAAACATCCTAACATCCCCCCTTTTCATCAGCACAATGTCATCAAAATGAAGTGGGAAAGGAACGGTTCCTACCTGGGTCTTAGAGAGGATGAGGAGTTCCGGGAGCAGATTGTCTCATTCCTCATCCCCTGGGAATATACGCTTGTTATGGTTTGGATGTTGAGAGCCCCCAAAAGCTCATGTGGTAAAGGTGTGGCCCCCAGTATGCTGCTGCTGGGAGGTGGTGGAAACCTTAAAGAGTTGGGCTTTGGCAGAGGTTCTTAGGTCCCTGGGGAAGTGGCCTCAAAAAGTCCCTTCGTCTTCTCTTTTTGTTTCTTGGTCATCGTAAGTGAACGTTTCTGCTCCTGCCATGACAGGCTGCCTCACCACAGATTCAAGGCACTAGGCTAGTGGATCATGGGCCAAAACCTCTAAAACCATGAGCCAAAATAAACCTTCTCTCCAAGTTGATTATCTCAGGTATTTGTTACAGCGATGGGAAGCTGACTAACACAACTTCCAAAGACCTAAATTTCTCTTTGAGAACACCAATATTAACAATAAACAGGAGGTAACATCTTCCTTTAGTGGTTTGGCCTTCTTGACTCAGGTTATGACTCAGGGATGAGCCTGGGTGTGTGGATTGAGATATAGGTCTTATTATTACTTATTATTATTATCAGGTATAGTGAGGCCAACACGTCACCAAAAAAAAAAAAAAAAACTTGTTACTCTCACAGATTCCAAGAGGAGAAAGCATTGCATCCCATGGGGACTACACAGGAAGCAACAGGGTCAGTCAGGGGCAGAGGGAGTGACAGAAAGAGCTTTTAGAGTGGTTTTGGAGGGAAGGAACAGGGAGGCAGGTTTAGGGTTGGAAAGTTTGAATGACTTCAGCAGCGTCTGGGGCAGTAAGTAAGCTCCTTCCATACTTGATTCTCTTCATTGGCAAGTGATTTCTACCTGGAGCCTTTTTTCTTTTTGTATCACTGTCAATATCCACAAGGTGCATGGCACAGAGGTGACAGTGTCATTCTTAGGAGTCCATAGGTTGAACCAACTCCACTTATCATGGGGACTTGGGAGAGTAAGCAGTTTCCATAGTTTTCAGCAAATAGACAAGAAACGTGCTATTTCTGAATATCTTCCATTGATTGATTTATGGATCAATTTCCCATTAACCTTTACTAGGAAAATACACGTTGCCAGTGAGAGCAAGGTCTGGAAATCTCTGCATTTCAGTTTCCCTCCCATTTGCACAATTTCTTTCCTTCTGTCAATGAATATTTATTATGCCCAAGGCACAGGGAGGAAGCGATTTACATAAAAGAATTGAATGGAAAGAAATAGGCCAAGAGATTTTCAGGATACTTAACATTTTCTCACTACATAGCCAATATTTACTTTTATTTTAAGCTTCTCTCCATTTTTGGTGACTGTTTAAATGAACATTCCAACAAATGAAATATACAAGTTCAAGGCCAGAGAATGGCTGTTCTGGACAGTAATGAGTTGCCTTTGTTGTAAATTTCGCTTCCCTTCACCTCGAGGCTTTATTGAGCAAATAACCCTTTTGCATTGGCACCAGGCCAAAGGGATATTAGCTCTTAAACTCGTGCAATCATTGACAGCACAACAGTAGCCCTATTAGAACTTGAATATTCACCCAGTAGCTAACCCAGCTTCTCGGGTCCAAGGCCAGCACAGGTGAGGTTTGGGTGTGTGAGGTGCTCCTTCAAGCCCAGGAGGCTACATCTGGTTCCCGCTCTCATAGCCCGGCACTACCCTGAGCTCCACAGAGACAGCACTGGGCAATCCTGTGCTTCACTGCGGAAAAACAGATAAACATGGGCAAAGGAGCTCCTAAGAAGCCGAGAAGGAGCCCGACAAGAAACACTGAAGGACTCTGCTTAGCTTCTCAGAGTTTCTAAGAAGTGCTCCAAAAGTAGACTGTGTCTTCTAAGGAGAAAAGGAAATGCAAAGTCATGGAAAAGGAAGACATTAGCTGTTATGAAAGAGAGATAAAAACTTAAATCCCTTCTGCAGCAAAACCAAAGAGTTCAAGGATCCCAAAGCACCCAGAAGGCCTCCTCCAAACTTCTGATTCCTGTCCTTTTCTGAGTATCGCTCCCAAATCAAAGGAGCACATCTGGCCTCTCCACTGCTGACACTGCAGAGCAGCTGGGAGAGATGCGGAATGACACTGCTGCAGCTGAGAGGCAACCTTAGAAAAAGACAGCTGCTAAGGTGAAGGAAAAGTACAGAAAGGACTTTGCTGCATATGCGCCAAAGAAAAGCCTGATGTAGAAGAGAAAAAAAAAAAGAAAAAAGGGAATTTGTCAAGGATGAGAAAAATCAAGAAAAGGGAAGAGAAGGAAAATTAGGATGATTAGTTTGTTCTAGTGGAACTTTTACTTCAGTATAAAGCATTTAAACCCTCAGCACCTCACTGTAGCAGTGCGACCACGGTGGTCTAGAGAATGAAAGATTACTCAGAGCTGAGACTCAGTTTAATCACAGAGGGCCCCGAAGGGTATTTCAGCCGGGAGGACTTAGCTAAGTTAGAGGGACTCCCAGGAGTAGCACCAAAGCCAAGAACAGGCTTTTATTTAGAGTATTGGTGTAAGAGAACAAAAGAAAAAAGCAAAAGAAGAAAAGCAGTTTGGACAAGGAACTGTGTCAAGGCCATGCACCTTTCTCGGGGAAAGGGGAAGGACAGCCGGCAGACACAACATGCTCCACTAAGCTGAACTTCTTCTTGTTTAACCATTCACCCCTCAGCCAGGACCCCCACACCTCACTCTTGAAAGAAAGCGATTAAAATGGAATGATGTGTAAATTTGATTTTAAAGCTGTAGTATCTTTTTTTTTTTTTTTTTAAATAGTGAAGACACTACAGGGCTGGGGATTTAGCTCAGTGGCACCGCGCCTGCCTCATAAGCACAAGGTCCTGAGTTCGATCCCCAGTACCAAAAAGAAAAAAAAAATAATGAAGACACTATTGAAGTGTCTTTAGATAGCTTTGTCCTTGTGGTGTTTTTAATAACCATCAACACTGTCTGGTATTGCCTGGAGGTTGTAAATTGTATGGGAATTTGAGGCAGGTTCTCCTTGGTATGCAGCACAAGATTGTTTCTTTCATCTGCAGCTGTCTCTGACACAGCTTACACAAAATGGTATTCTATTAACTGAATATCATTCTGAAATTGCAAAAAATAAGCTTGCAATTGCATTTTGACATTTTAAATGCTTCTAAATAAATATACATTTTTATTTTATTTTTTAGAAGCTAAATCTTTCCAAATCTGGTTTCTGTGGCCTCCCTTCATGTGCCCACAAACTGAAACACCTGGCTCCTTGCAATTTTGTCCCACTCTTGTCTCTCAATCCTGGCGCAATGTGACGGTCACAAATTCAGAGAAGTCTGAGAACTTTGGCAAATAGCATAAGGTTTCTGAGGCCGAGCTTCTCCATCTTAAGACAGTTGATGGTACCCACAGTCAGATGTGTTTCTGAAAGGGACAAGGCCAGAGCTGCTGTGCCTGACTCTCACGCCACCTCCGGGGGACAGGTGTAGCTTTTTGGTGCAGAAAGCATGGGGGACTCCCTAGGCAGCTGCGCCTCCTGTGGACCAGGCAGATCTTGGACAAATCTCTGGATGACTCCTGGTAACATAGGCTGGATCTGGTTCTACTCTTGAAGAGTCTTCTGCCTGTTTTATCTTAGGACTAGTAATAAGCTGGGCCATTTGTTTGAGGTATTATCATATCAGTTTTGCTTGCGTTTGTTTCCTTGCTAGGTGTGAAAACCATCCAAGAGCACAGCACCTGTAACAGAGGCAGGCAGCAAGCCTTGCTCTGTTGGACCCAGAGACCACATGCTTTCTGCACAAGGAACCACCGACAGTGCTTATGAGCTTAGTAAGAACTTGAAAACAACAAATTTTAACAGCAACACCATCATCAAACAACAAAATACCACCACCAAAACACCGCAGCTAACTCAGGAGAAAACGCCCTCAGCTTCCTGGCCCTTTGGTGTAATAATGGTGGCTTGTCATGACACCTGACCCCGGTTTGATCTTTAGTTATTGCAACTCCAATCCGCAGGCTCTCCGGAAGGATTTCACCTCCTTGGCAAAATGACCAGCAAGTAGGATCAGAGCATGGTGCACTGTGAGTGCCACTGCCTTTGGGGGTCACCTCTAGGTGAAATCAGGGCACAGCCAGTGCTCGCGGTAGCTTAATGACCCGGTAGGTGCCTCCTCCTGCTATGTGTGGGGTGGCAGGGTCAGCGACAAGAAACGTGTGAGTCAGCTTGCTCAGCCTTCTCTCCTTAACAGTCTCCATCTGCACCCCTGATATTGACCTTACTAGCTCTCCAGGGGAAGCCAGGTGGCAGAGCCCAGAAGTTCTCTTGTCACTCTCTGCCAGGCTCCTTGGGAAAGGCAGAGTCTTTTAATGTGCAATAGCTTCTAGCAACTTGCAAATAATGCTCGCAGTGGGCAGCAAGTTTGGTCAGGATCAGAGGAGGGCAAGGTGTAAGCCTTGAGAAGGGTCATGGACAAGAAGAGCTTTGACACGGTAGCATAAATAGTACTGCATGGTGCAGGCCCCAGGAGTTGTTATTATTCCACCAGCTTCAACCACATCCTGTGCAAGGCAACCAGCAGCTAGGCAACAACCAAGACTGAAAGCAGCTAATTTGATTGGGAGGTCCGGGACTGAGTCAGGAGACCATTTTCCCCTCCCACCTTTTAAATGGAACTTGGAAGGACTTGTCAGTCACACAACTCCCTCTCTGCCTGCCCGCCCTGTACATCACTGTTAAATGGATGCGCAGTCTTTGCTGTCAGTTGGGAACTGTGAGTGTGTGTGTGTGTGCGCGCGTGCATGTGTGGTCATTAGGACCCACTGTAGGTTCCCTGGAGCTAGTACAATTGTGCCACCACTGTTAAATGGATGCGCAGTCTTTGCTGTCAGTTGGGAACTGTGAGTGTGTGTGTGTGTGTGTGTGTGTGTGTGTGTGTGTGTGTGTGTGCGCGCGCGTGCATGTGTGGTCATTAGGACCCACTGTAGGTTCCCTGGAGCTAGTACAATTGTGCCTATTCCTGGAGCCTTTTCCTACCCCCTCTCCAGGATGGCCCTGTGAGTGTAACCAGGGATGCACATGACAGGCACAAGTACCTCCATCCCACATGGAGATATTTCTCAGCTAAGCAACACCCCTAACTGTGATGGTCATTGTGTCCCCCAAGTCTGACCTATGTGCCCCGTCACTACCTCTCTCTAGCTCCATAAAACAACATCTAAAGGAGTCCTTTAACACAGGGCTTTGTAGAAATCCAAAGGTTTCATCAGAAAGGACACTTTCAAATGAAAGTGATATGCATTTACTGTAGTAAAAGGTACAGGTGTAAAACAAAGTTCAAAAGAGTTTCAGTGGCCATCTCTTATGAACTTCCAGTTGCTTATGAAGTCCCAGTTGTACCCCACCAGGTTACAGAAAAGGACTCTTTCCTGGCTATGGCTCAGGTCAGGGGTTCTCAGTCCCAGCTGTCCTTTTGGATCATCTGGGCTGCTGTAAAAGGAAGGAATGTCAGGCCCCATGAGGCAAACTATCTGGGTCAGGCGGGTCAGAGATGTCTTTACTGGACACACCAGCTAAAGAGGGTAGATAGCTCCATTCTTTGCACCTAGAAAATGGACAATGAATATGGAAGAAAAAAGGAAAAGTATTCATAAGCTCTATCCTCTGTTTCTCCACCCGGCTAAGTGTTAATTATGTGAGGCAGTGAGGCTAAAAACCCATTTAAAAATCCAGTCCATGATAAACTCCAGGTCCCCCTAACAATCACTGCTCTTGCACATCCTGACTAGTTGATGGTCACACTGCCCACAATGTCCCCTGGCACTTTCTCCTGTCTCTTTCAGCATCCTCACCCAGACAACCTTGTCTCCCAATTCCCTGGGAAAGACTGACTCCCTAAATTCTCCATCCACACACAATGGCCTCTTCACCTCCCTCCCCTCCTCTCCTCTGGACTCAGGGCAAGAGGTCTCGTTTTATCTATTTTCGAGGTCACTTCCTCCCAGATTTCTCCAAATCCATTTGCCACCCTGTCATCTCTTCAGAGGCACGGGCTCCCCTCCCTCTGCCCTTCATTGATATCCTTGCCACGGATGCCAATTCTTTCCCAGCAAACAAAACATTCTATTCTGCCTTTCTAAATCAAAACAAAGCAATCTGCCTCAACTGTATATTCTCTAAGCACCTCCTTTTCATGAGGGGAGCTTCTTGAAAACTAACTGACGTGGACTGTTGACACCTTCCCGCCTCCCATCTCCTCCTCTCTGTCCTGTTGTCATCTGAATTTGGGCCCCATCTCTCTGCTAAAGATGCCCTCACCACGGTATACAGGGACAGCCCTGTGCTCGAGAGGCCTGGCCTCGCCCAGCCCCCTGAACCATACCTTCACTTGAACTTGCACCTGACCCCTGCAATTGTACTTTCTGCTCAAGCACGGAGAGCTCAGATGCAAGTGATTTCTAACAGCAATGGCTCTTTCTTGGGAGGGTGAGGGTGGGGAGAAAGGATTCCCTTTACCGTGAGAAAGTGGGTTGAGAAACCAAGGAACAGCAGACAAACTGTACTAAAAGCTGGGCTTGTCAGGAACTTTTGGGACGGGAAGTGACCCAGAAGCCTCATGATGCACTTTGGCCTCTGACAGAAGCCTCCCCTTCTGCAAGAATCATTGCCCTTCCTGGAAAACATGGGCACTGCCGGCAGCATGGCAGTTGAATGCTAGATAGCCTTGGCCCCTTGTTTTTCAGAAGGTATATTTTATTCTGAGGACACATAGTCCTATGGGAATAGTAAACACCTCCTGGGATTTGTCTTTGGAGTGGACACCACACTGGATACACAGCTCCTTTATAACTGTCCAGGAAGGCATACCCCACTTCCTGTCAGAGGCAAAAGCAATTGAAAGTACTGTTTAATAGCAAAAGTCTTTGGGCAAGGAATGGACTGGTCAGTGAGTGATCTGTCTGCATACGTTCAGAGACATTAATGCTGTACAGTTTTCTCCCTCACCCTGTGGAACTCCAGTTCTCGATTTATCAGGGACTCGGTGTGGAATGAAATGAACCACACATTCAAAATTTATGGCGAATCAAAGCTTCTGGCAATAGAAAAGCATTCTTCACATTCTGGGGTCATAGAATCCTTTATGAGAAAGGGAAGAAAAGACTTTTCCAGTAAATGGTATTCTTCATCCCAGTATTCTGCCTTCAGCTTTGGGAGAATAATTGCTCCTCATCCTGAGGATGAAGAACAGTATTCCAATTCTGTCTCTGTTTTCCATTCACAAGTGTGCAGACAGGGTGCTGCAGTTTCTGTGCTGGAGGATTAAGTTATACTGCTGGGCAAGCAATGAAACTAGAAACATCCCTCACTTTCCACCATGGCTATTACTGCTTCTCCTGTGTTGAAGAAGGAGAAGGAAGGGGAGGAAGAAGATATGGAATTAATTATAAGGAACCAGTAATAATAATAATTATAAGAAACCAAGTAGCCAAACAACTGTGTGCAAAGAAACAAAAAACAACTGGGGGCATTGCAATACCTGACCATGAAACATACCACAAAGCTTTGGCAACCAAAACTGTATGTTACAATGCTGATACATAGACCAGTGAAACAGGATGGAGAAGCCAGGAACAAATCCACACATCTACATCCACCTGATCTTTGACAAAGGGTGCCAGAAACATGCAGGGGAGAAAAGACATTCTCTTCAATAAAATGTTGGGGAAACTGAATATCCATATGCAGAAGAAATGAAAGTAAACCTGGATTTCTCACCATAGGAAATCAACTCCAAATGCATCGAAGACCTAAAGATAAAACACTTAAAAACAGTGAAGAAACTTTTCAGTGCATCAACATAGGCAAACATTTTTTTAAAAACCACAAAAGCACAGGCAATAAAAGCAAAAATAGACAAACAGGATTATAATAAACTCAGCAGCTTCTGTGAGGCAAAAGAAACAAGCAACAGGATGAAGACACAATCTGCCAATAGGAGAAAATATTTGTAAATTATCCATCTGACAAAGGATAAATATCCAGAATATATAAGGAACTCAAAGGACTCAGCAGCAAAACAAACCAAACAAAAATTTCCCTACCTAATATGGGAAAACAATCTGAACAGATATGTCTCAAAAGATCATATGAAAAATGTTCAACATCACTCATCATCAGGTAAATGCAGATCAGAGCCGCAAAGAGACATCATTTTACCCCACATACTTGTATAACCCATGGATAAAAGATAAAAATATATGGCTGTAATGAACAAGACACTAAATACCACGAGGATGCAGAAAATTGAGAACTCTTGTACACTGCTGGTAAATAAAAAGTTATATAGCCGTGTGCAAAATGTGTGGCGATTCCTCAAAAAATTTAAAAGCTACCACATGGTCCAGCAGTCCTACTACCGGGTACATCTTCAAACCAATGCAACCAGTACATCCAAGAGTCACTTGTGCTCCTGGCTTCATTGCAGCACCATCACAGTGGTCAAGACAAGGAATCAACTGAGATG